AAAACCCGACACTAATCTAAGAGAAAATCTCAAATTAGTTCGAAAAGTTGAAATACGATACATTGAATAAGAGATAGACATAGAATTACCTAACCTTAAATTATTGTAAGTATTGAAAAAATACTAAAGGTGTTAAAATGTGTAGAGTATTAAATAGATAAATATGTTACAAAAATTAAGCTATTGAAGGGTTGTCAAAAGAAAAAATGACTTAATTTAAACACGCATCTATAAAGTTTCTTGTAACGCAAAAATAAGTTTTTCTAAATATTCTAATTATAAATCTATGATGCGTGAGAATCGTAGAAATTTCAAGTTTGTAAATCTAGGAAAATTTGTTAATTTGTGTTGATACACGTCCCACAATATTTTTTGTTGTTAATTTTGCATTAATATAATTGAACTATAGGTATGGTATGAAATGGTATAACATGAATTTTTTATGATATTTTTTGCACATAAAGAATTTTTTTTATTTACTTATTCTTTTATTTTTTGCATATTTTTGAGTAGCTGTGAGCATGAGTTTTCATATTTGATAATATTTTTTACATAAAATTCTGGGTTTTTATCATAAAATATTGTTTTAAATTATTGATAGTTAATTATTACTCTAATTATTAATTTAACTAAAAATTATGATAAACTATTATAAACTATTGGCTTTACGTATTTTGATATTTGATAACTTTTTATGTTAAAATTCTACGCCACAGTTTCGTCGGTATTTTCGTCTTATTTAGGTCATTTAACTATATACGAGATAAATCGTAAATAAATTTAGTCTGCTTACAAAATCTCTTTCAGCTGATATATACGGTCCAGGTCTAAGAAGTACTAACATATTTTCTTCTTTTAATACCGTCAGAAAGTGCTCCAAATCTGCTTGCCCTTCGAAATTGTATACACCTGAAGTTGGTTCATGAAAACTCCATTCTACATAACTAAAAATAAATTGAAAAACATAAAAATTCTTATCAATAAAAAAAATGTCATTTAGGTACTATATTGTTAATTTTATTAAAAAAAGTTTATTCTAGTTTATACTAACTAATAGAAAGGAATCGAAGTTTATGTTTAAGTTGGAATAACTAAGGACATTAGAAAAAGAAATGTTTATAATATTTTTAAATTATTAAAAATGATATTTCTGCTGTAAATTTCTATCTGAAATCTAATTATAACAATCTTATCATAACTTAATATAACATATTGCAGTGACTAGTGCTTTTACTGCCAATACAATTATCAAGCATTGAAGTGTAATACCTAGTACATAACATATCACTACATAGTATTTATGCACATATAATACTTGATGGGGGGAGGCTATAATTAGGTCCATGGGTTATGTTCCATCTATGTCCAACCCGTTGGCTACAGGCCTGTATTCTACGAATTTTGCGATGGTTTTTTTAATGGTATTGCTGAAATTGAACTGTGCAATAATGGCGCACTGAACGATTATAGTCACTCAGAATCGTTTTTTCGAGAATGATGGATATATTGGTCTCAAACTCAAGATACCAGTTAAACAATATAGTTCATCCGTTCCTTTACAACACATAACCGTAGAGTTTCACCCGATCAAAGAGTTTTTCAAAGAATTAACAATGAAGAGAAGTAATAATATATTAAATATTTTATGAATAATATGTAAGTAATAATATAACAATGAAAATCAATAGTTTCAAATAGAGATTAAATAGTTTATATAAATACACGAAGGTTAGCAATGAACCATTGCCATAAAGTATTGAGATTAATATTAACCTTAATTTTTTATTTTGTCTTCGTTAAAAACATTACAGTAAAGCAATTAAGTGATTATAAGATAATTGTCCGTGTAAGATCGTGTTAAATATAAAAACATAAATAGTAAGTAAGTAAATTTGATGAACAGTTCGTGTTTGACCTCCGTCTGAGCAACACGTGTACCGCTTTTTATCACACCCGCATTTATAGCTTCCGATAGCAAGTAGTACGAGTCTTATACATGTAACAGGTAATAACAATTATGTTTTCTTCCACAATTATATGATATAAAACGCGCTAAATTTTTAACAATGAGCCAAACGCCCGTAGGGGACAATACGCATCCGCGTATTAACTCACAATCAAATATTCACGACAACAATATCGCGTCTCCAACCAATACCCCAAAATCCCTCAACGAAAAACTCCTAGCATACAACAAATCTACAATTAAATCAATACCCAACACACAAAATGACATGTCAAATAGCCAAAACCCACAAAAATATTCAAAAAGCGATAATCTTTAGTGATTCCCTTAGCACCCTCATGAGTATAAAAAACTCTTTTAGACCAAACGAGACTGCAAGAATAATACAGAACCAAATATATAAACTACAAAAAGAAAACACCATCGTAAAAATAATCTGGATACCAAGTCATACAAATATTACCGGAAATGAAAGAGCTGATACACTTGCCAAAGAGGCTATTGAGTCACAAAACGCAACCCCATGTCAAGTTTATTCAATAACCGACATCAAACAAATAATAAAAAAAATAATTTTCAATATCTGGCAAAACGAATGGAAAACATCTAACACCAAATTAAACGAAATTAAAAATCATATTCTCCCTTGGCCAAACAACACACTCACCAGAAAAGAAGAAGTAGTAATCAATAGGCTCAGAATAGGCCATACTAGATTAACCCACACCTACCTAATGAAGAAAGAAGACCCACCCACGTGCTTGAAATGTAAAGATCCTATGACAATTAAACACATCCTCACCGACTGCAGAAAATACGAATTACATCGTCAAAAATTCAACATAACTCACCATCTTGCTGAAAACCTCAACGTCGATACAACCAACATTCTTAAATTTCTAAGGGATACAGAACTTTATAAAACTTTATAAAAAAAAAAATTAATGTATATATTATAAATATAATGTACCTACCTATAATATGTAAATTTTGTAGCCAATGGCCCATAGTTTCCAAGGCATGTGTTATAAAAAAAAAAAAAAAATTTGATGAATAGTAAATTTAAAAATTGAAGCAAATTCAAGTTTGGTTATTATATACTGTAGCGTTAATTAGAATATAATAGTATTTCATAAATATTTCAGATGTATTTATTTCATGACTAGGTCATTAATCCATACGTATATAAATGTAATATATAGCTAATTTAAAAGATTTAAATTTAAAAAAAACTCGGCATTTCTCATGAAAAAAACATTTTGAGTGTAACTCTTTTTGAATGTAACTCAATATGAAATTAAAGCCTTTTTATATAATATTTTTCTATACAACGATTAAAATATTTTAATTATTTGTTTCAATGATAAACATGAAATAATTAAAGAGAAAATATTTATAAAATTGAATTTATCGAGCCTTAATTAATATTCATTGTGGTTATAAAATCTTATATTACTAAGTTATTTTTGTTTTCTTTATAAACCAAATTTTTAGTTTTATTTTCGGGCTGCAGGATGTATAGAATATCAGATAAACTTATTTTGAAATAGGCAATGTATAGTTGTCTATGAGAGGTGCATTCTGTTTTAAAGTCCATGCAAATTAATTTTAAACTTTGACCTTGGGTCTTAATAATTGTCATTGCATAACATAATTTCACTCGAAATTGGAGACATTTAAATTGATTTTGGTAATCTGATCGTATAAAAAGAATCCATGGAACAAAAACAACATGTTTTTAATTTACGCCGGTAATAATAGTTGCCTATGTTTATGTTGTGCCTTCACCTGAAGCCTGGTTTCATTACATTGCTTAGGATGGTTAAGGTTACACAGTAAAATGCTCAACGCACTAATTTTCAGATGCAAAATGTGAGGTGGAATTCTAGGTGGATCGAGTGAGTGAAAAAACTTTAAAAGATAATGCACAGCATCATAGACTTCTAAAAAAGGGTTCACTGATTCATATTTTAATATACATATTCACTTTCAAGTATGCATCCTTAACTTTGCACCATAAGAATGAAGATTTTTAGTAGGCTTGGATTTCGGCTGCACATGTTCCGTGTGATACAGCAGACAAAGTTTGATGAAATCCCCAGCCAATAGAACTAACAATATAACTAACTGAATTCCACCGATAAGTTATAAGTCAATTTTAATTTATAATATTCGGAAGTATTTTATCTAAAGCTTCGATATATTTTTTGTGGGCCATAGTGCACTCTGCACTCAACTCATATGATAATTTTGGCTTTTAGAAATACTTCTTCTACGTTACTTTGTTTTGATTATATTACACAGAGTAATTTAAAATCAATTAAAATTTAATAACCGCTTTTAACCCCTTTAAGGATTGAATAATGAATAATGGGGTAAGAGATATTTCATTCAAAATATATATGCTAAATTTCAAATAAATTCCACCAACAAATAACGTTTTCCATTATACCCATTTTAAACCTTTAAATGCCATTAAGGGTTTAATTTCACTAACCCGATAATAGCGGATATTTTCTATTTATATGATACATATCTACCAAATTTCAATTTCATAGATAAACTATTTTTCAATATTTCGTGTTTAATCGAAAATACCACTCTTTTATAAATATACATCTTAATATCAATGTAAAACCTATCATAATATTTTCACGCAAAATCATTCTTATAAAAATATTATAATATCAATATTTTTTGTTTCGAGAGCCAAGAGAACGTCACAAGACGTAATTTATAATACGACGTGTTCGGTATTTTATAATCCGTAAACCGTTCAGTCTAGGCTCGCATATGGTATGGACGCATATGGTAATTACTTCAGTACGAATAATTGAAAAATAAATAAATAAATAAATAAATCGTTTGAGATTTAACAGAACACTAAACACATTGAATATTTAAATTGTTTTATTTTTGATCGATTCTAAACATTTAATACATTTATAAAATTTTATAAAGTACTATACATTTAGAATTTTAAAAAAAATTAAAATTTTTTTTTTCCTCAATTTTTTTCTAAGAAAAATGTCAACTACTATCGTGCTGTGTAATTCGTACACATAATGTATGATTCGTGGGAAAATGTCTTTAAAGACGGATTTACAAGTAGTCGTGAAATGGGCGAGAATACTACTCGTTTTGCGCATGCTCACGACTTGCTCGTGATTAAACCGGTTGTGCTCACTACGTCATGTTGGAGTAATCGCGGCTTATCTGGTTTTAGTTGTTTCCGACTTCCGCTACAATGACTGTCAGTTCAGACTTGGGAGTGATAACGACCAGCTGGTCTAGTAGTAGTGCTCTCGACTATTTCACGGCTACATGTGAATCCGGCTTAATAACAGTTTAAGTATCAAGAAGGGAAGTGGGAATCCTCTGCGTGAATGGTGTTGTGTAGGCACGTTGAACGATTCGCTACGTCAAGAAGACGTTTCAATGTATTAATATTCAGCACTTAATAAGCGACGAAAATTTTTCGCGTTGACCGAGTAATGTTTCCTTTTCATTGCCTCTTCTCTAGGCTCACTCGAAATCACCATCAAGTTAAATGCAAATATTAATGATAACTTAAAAATTTCATAGTATACCAATGTTATACATTTGCAATTTTTTCATGATGAAGTGCAAAGCATAACCATAATTTTTTATGTTCGATGAAATTCATAATGAACAGTGATATAATATAATGAATGGGGCAAATTCCTAGTATTTTCGTGGCATAAGCAATTTCTTGATATTATTCGTTGAACGTATAATGTAAAATTCCCTATTACACAATTAACTTGAAAATTACATTGATCCTTAAAACGACTATGTTGTTAAAGATCAATGTAATTTTCAAGTCAGTCTTATAATAGGAAATTATGTTAAACGTTCAACGAATAATATCACGAAATTGCCTGTGCCACGAAAATACCTTACTTCTTTCAATTTTTTCAAAACGGCTTTTTAACATACAAAAAATATTGATTTTTC